GTAAGCAGAAAATATTTCATGGAGCAGCAGAAGAGTTACTAATTCCAAAAGCTGGTGTAACACCTGCATCAGCTCTGGTTCCTTGTGCTTTGCCAGCAAACTAGGATCGTAGAAATTGTAGGTTGGAAAGGAGCATGGTTGACAATTCAAGAAGAGAATGACTAGGTCATTCTACCACCATGTTTTGCTTGCTTTTATATATTTCTTTCAGTGGAAACTCCATATCCTCCGTCTGCATTTTCTTGTTTCCTTATCTATGCTACTAGAATTTTATTCGATTTACACTAACTTATTTTGATTTCTCCTCAGTCTCTTCTAGAATCAACAGTTACAGTATATTTGAGTTTTCATACGTGTTCTCTTGGACCTTTGATCATGCGTTTTCCTCTCTTTTGGACACTGTCCCAGTTGGTGTTGCAGTGGGTTGCTGAAATGAAACAGAACTCCAGCTGAGGCCTTGTCCAAAGCTAAGGATAGCAGAAAGGTTACCTTTCATTCATAATGGGTTATACTGCATTTATGAATCCCATTGTAATGAAGACTTTTTATGCAACAGCATGGTGGTGTTATGTTTGGTTTGTGATCCAATATGATCCCAGATGACTTTCTGAAGAACTGTTCCCTAATCAGTTGTTCCACATTCTCTGTGGGTTCAGATAAGTGTTCCTGCTGCAACAAAGAGCCTCTGACCATTCCTTATTCAGATTCTTCATGTCATTTCTCCAAGTTGGTAGTATTGTTTTGGATGGAAGTCTTGTTCTCTTGATATAGTTTTAATTCACTTAGCTTTATGTCTCTGCAAATTTAATAAGTGTATACTCCATTCTACTGTCTGAGTTGCTAATGAAAGTATTAAATAGCATCAGATTCAGGACAAATCTCTGTGGAACACATCTCACTCTGTCCTTCTGTTTTGGTATATAACTACTCCAAGTTCTGCTTTTCAAACAGTTTCACATCCATATGGTGCTTGTTTCTAACTCATTTATTCACTGGTAGCTTATGAGAATGTCATGCGAGATGGTAACAAAAGCCACACTAAAGAGAAGATATATAGCAATGATTGCTTTTCGTCCATCCGTAAGATCTGTTATTGCATCCCAGAAGTAAATCACACTGCATATGACTTACTCTTGATACATCTGGGCTACTGGTTATCTTTTTGTTCTTCCCTAAGCACTTAAAAACTGTTTGATTATTTGCTCCTATATTTTCCTAGGCTGAGTGGTCTGTAAGTCTTCTGCTCTTTTTTTTTTTTTTCCTTAACCCTATTTTTTTTTTTAAGTAAGTTGCTATTCTTCATCTTTTCATCAACCTAGCACTCACTTGTTCTCCCCTAGTTCTTGGCATTGAAGATACATCCTTTCATTTGATGCATTTCCTATTTTAGGTGTTTCTCTTAATAATATTTGCAGAGTAATATGTTGTTGTCATTGGCATCCCTTGCCAGTTGTATCTCATCCTGCACTTTACCCTTTTCTGATTCTGTCCCTACATGCTGTATTCCTTTAGACTTGTCAGTAGCAATCAGGCCTAGTTTGCACTTTCTGTATTCTGCATTTTGTGTTTGAGCTCTCTGAAGAGCTCATGAAGTAGCTAAGTTGATCTCTTACTGCATTGCCTATTCTTCTCTTTCATCAAGGGCAGAATTGCAAATTATTGTGATGTCATTTCTGTACGAAAACTACTAGGTCACCTGAATTATTTTCGGTTTCTTTTTGTTTCCCTTTTCTATGCAATTTAACCTACTAATTTATCTAGACTATTGAAGTCTACCTACTTGATGGCCACTGTCTTTATCTTACTCTTGACCCACCTTCTTACAAATCACAAATTACCCAAGTTGCCTTTGAGCCCATGTTTCTTATGAAGCTTTCTCCAATTGATTTGGATAAAAATCTAGAAGAATTTCTTTTCCCCCTGTCTCCCTTCTTTATCTGCATGCACTAGGCAGTGTGTGTCTTGGTTAATTCTTCTGAAAAACCTGGTTCATTTGACATTTTTTCATTTGATGATGTATTAACCCGTTGCTGTGATACTGCCACTGCACTTCTGAGCAAGTATTTGTGTATCTGCCATCCAGGACACAGCTGAATTTTTTTGTTTGGTTAGGGTTTTTCTTAGTGTGCTTTTGTTTTTCCTTCACCAGCTCTTTTTAAATGAATGGTTATTTTTACGGTAAAGCTAGAGGATGGTGTCTAAATGGATTTTTCAGTATAATCTCCATGTGCAGATTTACTGGGGAGTGCAATGGGGACTTCAGTACCCCATTAGTACTAGTGGATGCCATATGTGTTTTGACGTAATGGGATGGGATTGTATGACACTTTTCTTGCCTTCCCAAGGAGGCTGGGTTTCAGGTATCCTTGCCTCCGAGTGGCTTGTCGTGCTCTTGTTCAAAAGTGCTGGTACCGGACACTATGTAAGCTGTAAGCAGTTATAAAAGGAAAAGTATTCTATTTCTTTTTTACTGGATTAAGCTGCATTTTGCTACCTTTGAAGCTGTGGAACTCCTATTTAAGAATTTGATCTACTATAATTTTGTATTAGCAACTATGGAAAGTAACTAAACAACTTATTTCCCAATGTTGCAGCTGTTACAGTTATCTTCAGTGTATATCTCTATATTACATAAAGTTACACCGTTAGTAAAACATAAAGCCTGCCTGAGGCAGGTTTTTTCATCTGTATTTCTAAGTCTGATTTAAAAGAAAATTCTGGTTTGCATTTTTTAATCTTTATTTTACCCCGTAATGTTAAAAAGTGCATTGAAAACTTTGAACTCTGCAAATACGACAAAGCTGGGCAGGGTACAAGAACCTAGACATGTAAAGAGAAGAACTTTATACTCTGCACAGTAGCAGACCAGCCGGAATGTATTACTCTAATCTGAAATAGAAGAGTGGAGATTTTTTTTTTTTTCTTCATCAAGGGGCTGTCATGAAGCTGTCAATCCTCATTTTCCATCTAAATCTGTGTGCCCTAACTTGCTCATGTAACTCTCTGGGTGTGGATCACTGAACGATGTTATACATTATCGCATAGCAGATATCTTAATGGTCCCCTTCTGTCTGCGCCTGCGCAGAGATGGATGTAAGAATATCTCACATGCTGAGAACTTGCTTATGCCACAGACTAGTAATAAAAAGCCCCATCTATATAAGCTGTGCAAAGGGAGTGGAGGAGAGATCTGTCCTAATGTATTTAACAGTATGAGTTACCTTATATTGCGTATGTAACTATCAATAGGACATCTTAACTAGGCTGTGGAAAGCCTTTCCATCAGATGTCTCTATAGTCAGACTATTTAAAATCTTTCATCATTCAGAAGCTGCTTTCTCAGAGACTGCAAATTAGGGTTACAGCTTAGACCACTGATTACAGCTGTGATAGGGGTTTTACCGCAAATTTATGAAACCCATCTGTCCTGACCAAAGAAGATCAATTCAGCTAGTAAAATATAAATAGAAACACTATATATGGCTGGTTTTCTGTAAGTTATAAAAAATAATTTTATAACACTTAGAGTAGTTTTAACGAGAAGGGGGGAAAATCCTGATGTTTAGAAGTCAAATACATGACAATGTTGGAAACAAACAAGTAAAATACAGCGTATTACTTCTAATTAGTTTGCCATACTGTTTGCTGGCTAATCTGTGCTGGTGTGCTAGCTGGCCAATAAGCAGGAACTTAATTTTCAAGCCAGAATAACCACGTGCTGCTTTTTTGATATGCGATCCATCACTTGGGATGAGAATGAAGACATTTTGGTAGAATACTCAGGGATGTTAGAGTAAGCTTAAAACCTTGTGGAGGAGGTCTGGGCGACCCATGCTGACAGTACATTGAAGATGCAGGAGGGAGCTGGTGTTTTGTATGTGATGAGAGATGGTGTGATGTGAATTGATTGTAGATATTCCCGTGACAGGGATTGCAGCACACACAGGGAAGATTTGGCGTTATTGCAGTGAAGTATGGAAGAAATCGCTAAGGGTATCAGGCTACCTTTGCAAACTGAAGACCCTCTCTTTTTACTTGTACTGCTGCATTAATATAGTTGCATTATGCATATCTTTAATGAGTAGAGAGATTTTCCTGTATAAATAAAAATCTAAATTAAAATGAGGGTATGAGCTAAGGTTTTCTTTCCTATTTCTAAAGGCAAATATAATAAGCTGTGATGACTGTATTATCAGAAAACCCAAGATGAACATAAGATAAGCTGCAGTAGCAGAAGTTTTATCATCCTGTCATCTGTGGCTGTGGAAACACTGTTAAATACCTTTATACAGTATGCTCTTCTAGTGGTTATCTGTAGTGTGTTAGTATTTTACTGACAGGCCTCCATTTTTATTAATTTAGTAACAAAAGGACATGTTAATCTTATTATAAAATATTACATAATATATAATCTAAGACATAACAGGAACAGCTTTTGCTAAATCTTGTAATCTACTTGATATGAAAATGTGCATTATTTTTCAATATTCTTCTTTACTATGGTTTGAATTCACAGATTTCATAGTACAGATGCTTTAAAAATGAAGCTCAGTATTAAGGATAATGAAAGCATACATTTAAGTAAAGCAAGTTACAATTTTTTGTACTACTTTCAACATTTGAGCTATTCCTTTATCCTACTTGGTTTTGTGTTTTTAGACTTGAAATATGCCTCACAGGAATAAGTACTGAGGGTAATGATAGATTTTTCTAGTTGTATTCTATCCTTATCTGCTCAGTATTTGATTATGTACAAGATGACAGCATATATTGCTTTTTCCACGTCTTTTACTAGTCAAAAAATGTTTTAAACCCTCTCAGCTTTATAGAAGTGGCATTTTTATCAGTGATGGTTATTGTACTTTTTTGCTACGTTTTCTGTGAAAATCAGTGTTGCAGAAAAGCTTCTGTGGAGATGGTGAGTGGGAAGAAGCTCTAAATTTTTTGTTGTAAATTTTTTGTTGTCGATTTCTTAAGTGACAGTTTGTCTTGTTTCTCAGCCATATTATGTCTGAGTATGTGAGGATGACGGATACAGAGCGCGATCAGATAGATCAAGATGCTCAGATATTTATGAGGACGTGTGCCGATGCCATTCATCAGCTGAGAACAGAAGGTAAACTGAGCAAGTCTTAAATATTTTTCTTAGTTATTGATAAAGGCTAATATAATGCTGAATATTGGATGGTGAATCTGAAGTGCTTTTGGAAAGAGATCAGTGAAGTCTCATTGCCTTTTTGTTTGCATGTGTGTAATCCCTTTGGCTGAATAGTACTGTACTTAATTTTCTTTAACATTAGTGGAAGGGGAAGCCAGAGAATGGAACTTTGTTTATTTGTTCAAATACAGTAATTAGCAAGCGTAAAAAGGTAGTCTTAAATATTTGCTACTTGAATAGTAATTTAGCACTGTGGCACAGTGGCCTGAACCAAAGCTGTCTTTCTAGCTTGTCCACCTGTGAGGCATTAGAAGTATAACCTTTCCAAGTTTGAGATAATTAAATAACTTTAACACAATCCCAGTAAAGTAACAGCGTTTTTGACAACTTGAGTATGGGATCATACCTTTACAGTGCTATCTTATGAAAGTTGTAGAGAGAACTTCTAGTTGGCCATTTTCAAGTTGACTTGCTGTATGTGTGTTTTATCAATATACCAAAGATTTTTATCGGCTTTGAAAAGCCATCTAAACATAGTTGTAGCATTATTCAGAATTATTGAAAGTCAGTCATGCATGGGAACTACATAGTATCAAAATAAGAAATATTAATAGATGTGAATTGAAAGAATGCTTGACACAGTAAGTCCCAAAGATTTCCACATAGTTTATGCAGTGGAGAATTGAAAACATTAGAAGTTCGATATTTTCAGCAAGTTAAAGCTGTAGATCTGTTTTGCTATGCTTAGCTTGGTGACACCTATTCTTGTTTAGAAATTTAATTGACATGAGCGAGTGGCATATGTAACAAATCAATAGTATAAATATTGTAAGACACTAGTTGTTCTCAGCTTTTGGGTTGTTATAATGATTTGCTGAACCTATATTTAAATATAGCTATGTTTAAAATAAATATTAATATATTACGTATATAAAATGTTAATAGACTCTTGAATATAACTTGCGTATCAACTGAATACACAAACTTTTGTGAAATTCAGTAAAAGGTTAAAAGATTAAGTTACTTTTTTTTATATATTTTTTTTTTTTATTTCAGCACACAAGGGTGTCCAGTCTGCTCAGGTCAAGGAGCACAGAACCGCTGTCTTGGACTTCATTGAAGATTACTTAAAAAGTACTTTAGTGTTTATTGAATGGTTAAAAATGAACAATTTTTTTTTCCAAGAAAGAAATCATGCTCTTCTAACCTGAAATGTTGTTTACTGCTATCTTGAACAGGAGTGTGTAAGCTGTATTCTGAACAAAGAGCCATCCGAGTTAAGCGAGTGATAGATAAGAAGAGACTGTGAGTAGTGTCAAAAAAATAGTTTAACAGTGCCTTTTGTTTGTAGGACAGTCAACAAAACTATTTTCCATGTTTAGATTTGAAGGAGATTGTTTTAATGGAAATCTGTAGTTGGATGAGCAACTTCTGCTGTCAGCAGGTGCATTTCAGGGCTCTTCTACACTTCTGGCATGTGAAATTAACTCTGTAAATGGCAGAGTGCCAGTATAGTGTTTTGCTTCTCATTTATGTAAATGATTAAAGCATCAAATTAGTAAAATGTGGGTTAATAAACCTATTGGACTTCTGCAAATGCAACAAAATATTTTTGTGTGTCCCATTAAGTAATATTCTGCATAAAATAGTTTAGAATGAAATCCTGCACATAAGTAATATGTCTCAAAGATGCTGTTTAGGTTACTGAAGAGGTGTTCACTTCTCTCCCCCCGTCTTTTTTTTTAAGCCACTATCTTTCTGCTCAAGCTAGTGATTATGTTGTTGATAAATGCTACTTGAGATAGTGAGTCTTCATGGCAAGTAGAAACATGATTAAAATAAAAATCTTGAATGTAACTTCTTAACTGAAACAAAAAAGTTTCAGCTTCCTATCATGGCATACATTCAGGCTGCTCATGTAGAGGTGAAAATGTCTAGGAGAAGTTAAAGACAATGTACTTGCTTGCTTTTTGGTTTGGTTCTTTTTTTTTTTTCCCCATTAAGTATCAAAAAACATACTTTTTCAGTTTCTTTTTCTGCATACTCTCAGGTGAAGAACGGTAGAGGGAATTAACAGGTTTGCAATTTATTTAATACCTGAAAGGCTTTCCATATCTTCTCAATCTGCATTATTTGAATTCTAACCTTAAGTTCTGTTAATTTAAAAATAACAAATTCTAGAACATACATATCAATAAATATGTTCTTGAGTGTTTTTCCAAGACTTCATGCTGCTGCTTTATAAGTTTGGTGTTTGGCTCGATCTGCTATTTACATTGAAACTAGCGAGAAGTTTTCAAAAGTCCAGAAGTATGTTTTATTCAGATTGATTCAGCATGATTAAGCACAGTTAGATTCACTCAGATATATCTTCCCGAGACATAAATAGTAGTAAAAGTAAAGTAAATAAAATACCCCAAACCATTCTGAAATTTGGCAAGAAGTAATGAGAGAAAAGGCATTGGTTTTTTCGTAACTCCTGTAACTTCTCAGAGAAAAATATACAGAAACAAACTGTGTGATATTTTTCATGTGTAAAAATATATAACCTTATCAATATTCTTCACACTAAAGAATTTCCAAGATATCATGGTTCCTGCAGTTATAGAATCGGCTAACAAATACCAGGTCTTCTATTTGTTCTACTTGTACATGATAGTTTCCATGTGAAATCCCAGGTTCAAGATTTCTCAGCTGACGACAACAAAGAAACAACTCAATTTGATGTATGCTAAACCTGGAGCACTTAAATAGAGCAGTAAGGCATTAAAAAATAATCCAGAAGATGCAGTCCTTTTATGTAATATTGGAGGATACCTCTTTGCCTTTTTTTACAGATGAAAGAACTAGAAAACAGTTGTTGACCTGGTGGAGTCTGTGTGCATTGCAGATGTGATGCAATGGCTAAATTGGCATATAAATAAATTCAATTTAAATAAATCATAGGACATAAACCAATTCTTGTGATGATTTGAAGAAAAATTGTCTTTTTTTCATATGCCTTCAACTGGTTGATTTGTAATTTCTCCAATGATTTCATATGACGTGCTATGTGATAATAAGAACATGTTCCATGACTTAAAAGAACAAGGTGTTCTTTAAATAGTGCATCCCAGGCATTTTGTTAGTTTTTAATTGAAAACTTAGGCTAGCATACTGTGCAAAGTAAGGACAACAAACAATAAAGGAACACATTTCTTTAAAAGTAAATTAATCCTAGTGCAGATCTTCTTTCCTGCAATTTAGTCAACTTAAAATATGTGTGTATCAGACAATACTGAAAGGTTTGCAGTAGAAACGTACTTCGTTGTGTTTCCTGTTATACTGATAAACATCCTAAGCTCTTCAACAAATTGCCTGTGTTATAATTTTCTTACGTAAGTTGCCTTTATGTATTAACTCATAATTTTTGATTGTGCCAAGTTGTGCCAATTAAATAGGACTAGTTTCCCAGAATGAAAAGTTGAGAAATAAAAACACAAGCAGCTTTTTCTGTAAAGGTACTTGGTTGTGATTTTCAATTTTTATGTTTATTGGTATTCAAAATTTTGCCATTAGACTATATTGTGAATTATGTATGCAATTACTCAAATCAAGCTGATATTTTTATTATCTGGGGAACTGGTGTTTTATTAGTATCAGAACTATTATTTGAACTGCATGGGCATCCAGATAAGTTGTCTTTTCCTCATTATTAGGCAAATTTAGGACTTGAGAGGAAGTAGATGAAAGAAGAGTTCTTTTGTAAAATTGCCAAAAGCCCAGTACTTGCAGAGTTATTAGAACTAAGAAAGGTTCCCTGATACTGCTTTTTCTTGTTTAAATAACATAGTCACTTAGTGATGACTAATGCTTTATATTCTGTTTTTCTCAGAATTTTCTAATTATGGGTTAGAAATTAGACACAATACAAAGAAGGAAAGGAACACAAAATGCAACACCTTCTGTTAAGCAGCAGGGGAAGATTGCAGATCATAATGAGATTAACTGTTGATTATATTTAAGAGGGGAGGAAGTGATGAAGGTGGCACAGCAGGTGATTCAGCCCATTGCTTTTTGGTTTTTTGTTCTTTAGCTTCGCTAACAGTATAATTGCTAAACATTTAACTGTCTACTACGTAGCAGTTACAGAATTCATTGTAGACAACAATAAACCAGAGAAGTTTACTGGAAAAAATGTTGCCCGTAATTTTAAACTTTTTTAGGTGCCACAGTGACATGTACTTGTCAAGTACTTAATATATAATCACTGAATATGCTTCTCATTTTTCACATTGCCTTTGTATTAAAATTACATAGCAGGGACTTAGTTGTAGTATATATCTGTCCATCTGTCTACTGCATATATTTTTTTTCTTTTCCTTGCTTCTAAAGTGTCTTTTGGCAGGTAATGAAGGATCAGTTTCATCCTGGTTAAATTATTCTTTAAAGCTAGTTAAATAAAAATACTTGTTTCAGGAAAAAAGCTAATTTTGTTGTATTTTCTTACTTTTCCTTTATGATAATTGACAATATAAAGTAAAATTGTAATTATTACTTGAAAAAAATAAAGTAGTAGTATTGGCCATTGTTACTAAAAAGAATTTTCAGTACGACCAAAATGTTGTTTGTTTGGTTGTTTTTTTTAAATACATGTATTTTAGTACACTGGATTTTTGAAAGTAAGTTTAATAAAATGTCTGTCTCGTTTATGCTATAGCCTTCAAAATTCTCAACTGTGAACATGTAATGTGCTTTGTTCAGGAATACTAGTTGTGCTCTCTTCGCTTTTGTAATAATATTTCAGTGAAAGCTGCTAAGTACATTTTGTATCTTGACTGGGAGACCTTTAATGTGGAGTTTGCAAGAGTTAGTGTCAAATTTAGTAATCTGTGCTTGTTCTCATTTTAAAGACATTCAACATGGAATATCAGTTAAATTATAGGCTCTTGTGCTTCTAGGTCCAGACTTGAACCTGAGCAGAGCAATGTGTCCAAATCACCTCTTTCCCCAGAGAAATCTTCACAGAATCCTTTAGATGATTCTGAAGAAAAACTTTCTGCTGAGGAAAGCAAAGGTAAGAATAAAATGGAGTTATATTTTACTTTTTGTGGCAGAGCCTGTCTGGTCAATAGTACTTCACATTAGAAAGGCCTGTTCCTGTGACTCGCACCTTCTCTGTTTTCATCTTCCCTGAGTTGATCACGCTTTTGTGAAGCACATTGTGAGACTGAGGAAGCAAATTCTTAAACTTTTTAACGTGCTTTTTCAAACCAGCTGAAAAAGCCTTACGAGTTGCTGGATTCCTCATCCTCTCAATGAACTCTGTGTTAGCTCTTCCCTGTTTATTTTTATCAATATCCTTTGTCCTGGTTTCAGCTGGGAAAGGGTTAATTTTCTTTCTAGCGATTGCTGTGAAGGAAATGTCAAGATATATTGTTGTAGTTGTTGCCAAGTGATATTTTATAATTTTCAAGGACGCTTTTCAGCTTCCCATAGAAGCTGAGGAGTATAGACAGAACAATAGAATGGCCAATAGGAGTATTCCGTATCACAGACATCATGCTCGGAATATAAATGGGGGTTGGCCGGGGAGCGGGGCATGGAATCAATGATCACTGTTCAGGGAGGGTGCCAATTCATCAGACAGTGAGAGTGACCTGTGTCATTATTGTTATAGTTGTTTTCCTTTTCTGTTATTGTTCTATTAAACTGTCTTTATGTCAACCCACAAGTCGATTTGTTGTTTTGTGGTGGTTTTTGGTTGTGGGTTTTTTTTCCTTCTCCCACCTTTCCTCTCCCTTTTCCCCTCTTGTCTCTACCCTTCTTGAGACAGTGGCTGTGTGGTCCAAGTTGCTGGCTGAGGTTAAACTACAACACCATCTACTTACATATCTTCCAAGATCTGTCTGATTTTTCTATATTCCTTTCACTGACAGCAAAGAATTGGAAAGTACATCAACGACTTTCTGGGAATCTTTTCTATATTTTAAGCACAAAGACCTTGAGTTGGACACCTCTACAGTAGGAACTCAAAGGTAGAATATGCTTATAGAGGGGAGATTACTGGCTGGCCAGATTCAGTAGTTTTGGGGATGTTCTTCTCCACTTCATTGAGTTGCCCTGTCGGAAGCATTGCATCTCATCTTTTGGTGGAGACAGCCAGAAGACCAAAGCAGTATCTGTGACCCCAGGGTCATTGACAGGACTTAGGGCTCCAGGGAGACCTCATAGCAGCCTTCCAGGACTTAAAGGGGGCCTACAGAAAAGGTGGAGAGAGACTCTTCATCAGTGAATGTAGTGACAGGACAAGGGGTAACTGTTTTAAACTGACTGAGGGTAGACTTAGATCAGATATTAGAAAGAAATTCTTTACTCTGGGGGTGGTGAGACACTGGAACAGGTTGCCCAGAGAACCTGTAGCTGCCCCATCCCTGGAAGTGTTCAAAGCCGGGTTGGATGGGGCTTTGAGCAACCTGGTCTAGTGGGAGGTGTCCCTGCCCATGGCAGGGGGGTTGGAACTAGATGATCTTTAAGGTCCCTTCCAACTCTAACCATTCTGTGATTCTGTGACTTGTGAACATTGCTTGTGATTCCTTGGTGGCCTGCTTCTGAGGCCAGGGGATGTAAGTCCCATCTCTTAGCTGTTGAAGTCTGTCCTGGGATGTGGCAGAGTGCCTTTTGGAGTACCACCACTATGCAGATAATTCTGGATTCTGGAGTTGCTTTCCCTGGCTTGATCAGGTTGCATACCTAAATAGAAGTCTTGTTTCTTTGATTCTGGAGTTGCTTTCCCTGGCTTGAGTTCTTCTGCTTGTGCGGTCTAGAGGAGTTCAAGGTAAACCTGTTATTCACAGCATGAAAATTATTTTTGGAGAGAAACAGAAACGATATGAAATGTAACATTACATTAGAATAATACTTCATCAAGATAAAAGAAATGCACTGGATGGCCATATCATTCTGATAACCAGTTGTTGTTTCTTTGGTGATTTTTTTTTTTTTTTTATTAAAAGAGTAAAGTTCCTCTGGTTGGTGACTTTAGGGCCATACAAAGGGTGGATTCATATGAAGTGGTTACTCCATTTCTGGATGAAACCTCTAATGTTGAATTACCTCACAGTGTGTGAACGGTTTCATTTTCTGATATGGCATTGCTTATCTTCCTAACCAGTTTGTACTTCTGCAGCCCTATCAGTATGTTGGTTTGTTTTTTTTTTTTCCCCAACACTGAATTTATTGTACGAAGTAAAGGTTTTGATTATGTGTCGTTTCTAGTGCTTCCTACATTTTTATAGTGTGTCTTAAGTGATGCAGCAGACGGGCACAGAGATGACTTTCACCTTTACACGTTATCAGTGTTCTGCACCTGTGAGCTAGTGCCAGCAGAGAAGCGGCAGCGTAGTAGCATCTTTGTTGCCCCACACTCTTGCCTTGTTATGGAATGTCTCCGCAATCTCTGAAATCATGCACTCCCACCACACAGTGTCGTTAAGATTTTTAGCTCAAAAAATGTGTGCCACGCCATGGAAAACGCTGTTCTTTCATTGCCTTGGACACTGCAAACCGCTGCAATAAACAGAAATGAAGCTTTGTTTCTTGCAGATTAATTTTGATTACTCCAGTTTTCACTTTTATTAGTTTATGCTTTAAGTAGGTGTCCCATCACGTAAGTGATGCTGATGCGGTACTTAGGAGGGATTGCTGACTAGTCTTTGAGAAAACTGTGGAACTTGTATATCAAAATAAATCTGTCTGAAACAGTTTGTAAATGAACACAGCTTGTGATTCCTCATGTAAGTGTAAGTGTTGGTTGCTGCTGCTTATAGAAATCAGCCTTGTGACTTCGCTGGTAGAGGTGGTTGTCGAAGTGTGGGAATTGCATGAATGAGATGACTAGGAAACATGAAGCCTGGTTTAAATCTTGTAGACTTTGGGTTTTTTTGTGGTTTTTTGGTTTTTTTTGGTTTTTTAGTAGCTTTTCAAATTTTTAAGAAATTGGAAAAAATACCATGTTTAGAAATAAACTATTTCATTCTCAGGATTTTGGTGGTTTAGGGAATGGTGATCATTTGTATTTATGAATTAGCCATTATCAGCATGCCTGGGTTGCTTGCATAAATATCTCAGCTGTAAAGATAGTTGTTCTGAGAGCAGCTTGTGGTCCTGTCCTTAAATTGAACGTTATGGTGAACAGCTGAATGCCCTTGGTGTGCTGAAGCACAACTTGAGTTTTGTCTGGTTTGTGTTTTTGTCTGAAGCCAGAGCAAAATGTGATTACTTTTGTTTTGAGGGAAAGCACCTGTTTACATTAGAACTATACTGGAGATGCCTCATGGTAGGAAAATAGTCTCTCTGGAGATTGCTTTTATATGCTGACACTATTTATTTGTATATTACAAATTTTATATTTAGTTTATGGAAATAAATGTAAATGATGAGTAGCTTTTGAACTGGTCCACAAGCTTAGCAGCTGTCTCCTTTCAGTATGGAAAAGGGTTCAGGGGATTTGATCATTACTTTGTATCTCTGTCATGCGTTAACTACTTCTCTTTCTGCAAAAGAAATGTAGTTTGGCTTTTGCTGGATGAATTGTAGGAACGCATTAAAGTCAGCTCAGTGAAAGCTGCAGAACAACTTTCACAGTAGCCACAAACAAACCGCAGTGACAGGAGGAGCCCTGGGGAGATACGTGTTTCTCACTTACCTCTTACCATAAGTATATTTGCTTATTAGCAATCACATTGGATACAGGTGCTGTTTTTTCAACGGGGCTGACAGTGCCTGAAAGTAATTGGTTCCTCTGGGATAGAATAGGAATATATCTTATTTCGTGGCTACACAAACCTAATTATCTTTTTTAATCCAATAAATAATTCATTGTAATTTTGATATGAAGTAAATACATTGATTACCTAAGCAAATAAGTTTTGTATTTCTGTGAAATACTGATGATACTCCATGGAAAACATAGAGTTGAATCCTTTCTAAACAATCTTTAAAGATATTCTTCTTTTTATTTCTTGTAACAAAGAACAGATCTATTTTCGGTTTGTGATGGTTTTTTAAATTTACTATATTCCTTATGCAGATCCCTCATTTGTAACATTGTCATTGTACATCCTAGTTTGGTTGCTGGGAAGCAAAATACACATTTATAAAGGAGACATAAACAACAATACTCTTATAATATTTGTAAAAACTCTTGAAAAATAAATATTTCAATGAAGGATAAAGGGGAAAAATTCTGCTTATAATCTTTTTCATATAGTTGTTTATAAATAGAACTATTCTGTTCAGAGGCTTCCCAAGAGAAGTCGATATCTGAATGATGATGCATCAGTGCTGCTTTATGCAATTGAAAAAAAATGAGGTTTAGAAGGTTATAACAAAACAAATGAAAATACTTATAAATGCCTGAAAAAATTGACTGGGATAAACAGGAAGTCTGAAATCTATGAAAAAGTAAAAACTAAATCTCTCTGTATTTTAATTTCCAGCCTGCATCTGATTAAGTCAGAGCACGTTCAGTTTTGCTCCATTGTGGGGTGGTGCAAATCTGTCTTTTGGGTTTTGTAAAAATGTCACAGCCAGTGGGGAGAAGAGACGCCTTCTCAAGAGGACAGCCTTACCGTTAGGATTTTAAACACTGATGCTAGAACAGTTTCAGAAACAATAGGTTCCTGTAGCATACTTTCTTGGCTTTCCCCTTCTAACTTTTTCGTCTATAATCAGAAGTAAATTAAGCCTAAAAATAAATCTTCCAGAAGGGAATACCTCAGAAATAGCCGTTCAACATCTTTTATGCACAACTCCTGTTAAGATTTATGCAGATGATTAGCTTTAATCAAAGGGGAAGTACTATTGAAATCAGTGTAGCAGCTATGATGTGTAAGGGTTAGTTTGTGGGATCTGATTCCCATTATATGCAGAAAGACCCCTTGCACGGCGTGCTGTAGGATTTGCACTGTAATACGCAGTTTGAACAGTGTGAGGAAATAGTTTGTCCTGTGAACTTTGCTCAAAATGTCTTTCAGATTATGTTTTTACTTTTTGGAATGAGGAGCTGGTGGTTCTGCCAAGTCTCATCGGAAGACAATCGTTTGCATATAGACTGTCATTTTGAAAATTGTGTGTTTTATTCTGTTAAAAAACAAATTTTGTGCCCTAACAAGTCTTTGAGTTGTTTTACATCCTTCACGATCAATATATCAGTGCAACTCCTCATAGTTCACAGAATTAAACATATGCATAGACTTTTGTCCCAGTTTAAAAGTTAAAGGTTATTGGTGTAGTTTTGCGCTGTAAATATAGGGTCAATCTCAGTTAATGACAAATGAGGTATAACAATTCCATCAGCATTCTGAAATGAATGAAAAATGATTATCACTTCACTACTCGGTGTCTTGCATTGTCTCAAGCGTTTGGTGATTGTTTTACAGACAGGAATCTGCCGGATGCCCAAAGTAACCTTGGATTATGGGGGGATGGCAAAGGTGAAGATGAGCTGTCACCTGAAGAAATACAAATGGTAAGTATATCTTGTGTCTTATTGTCCATTTTATTATATTTTCTGCTGTATTCATATGTGTTAAGGAACTACTCATTCACCCAAATTCATTCTCAACTTTCATTTTACGCAGAATAATGCATAACAAGGCATACCTTTTGCACATGGCTTCCTGGTTCTTCTGGTAGCAGCTAATACTTAAAATTGCTACAACATACCTACATGGACCCATGAAACTAGTAACAACTATTTTTTTTCAAGAATTGGAATCAAAATTGTTTTTAAAATTACGATTATTAATTGCTTTTTTTAGTCAGGAAACAATAGAAGTCAGGGCGACATCAGAAAATGCATTATGAAACTTCTGAAAGAATAAAGTGCTGGCCGGTTTTTACTTGACTAGAACACACCTTAAATAGTTACGCTATTTAAGTATAGCTATGAAGTCATACTTCATTTTATTCCTTTTCATTTTTTTGATTATAAAAATCAGATTGGTTCACTAGAAGGAATAGCTACAAGCTTTGTCTCACAACAGAATCTCATTAATTTTACCTCTTCAGCATTTCCCCACTATCACCATGTTTACATATTATTTGATCCAATTCTCCTTACAGTTGAAGTGATGTACTATAAAAATTCTGACATAGGCCTGATTACTGACAACCAATCTGTTAGACTTTTTGATATTCCTAGCATTTATTGTTTTGAAGATGGCTCAGAATTCTTAGAAAACCTCTCTACATTAGTACACGTTGCCTTGTTTTATATAGAGAAAGAAAAAATTATTTATAACTAGCCAGTAGATGGGCAGTTTTCAAAACTGTGAGCTTTATTAAGGCACAGGGCTGCTGCAGTATGAATATGTGAAAAAGCTTCCTTGGCAGTGATTAGAGATGTTCCCAAACACAATATGCATCACTCTTCCCATCAGAGATGAGTAAGTTGTACATAATTACGGTAAGGTTTGTCAAAGAGAAAAGGTTCTTCAGAGGCTGCTCTTGATGCTCTCATATTGTTCTTGAGTGCCAGTCTGAAATCTAAAGGCTTACTCCTGCTTTCTGTTTCCTTTTTAAAGAGAATTCTTAACATATTTTCATTCTTCTGTGTGTAGGCACAATATGATTAGCCCCCTTGCTGTAAGCTTCCAGGGGATCAGGAGGAAACAAGCGTCAGAGGTGATGGCTCTGACAGGGCTTACTAATAACCGACTCCTAAATGTTGGATTGCTCTTTGTAGACTTCACACTGTAATTAAGTTTTAAACGTGTTATACTGCTTGCCATGGTGCCTTGGGAATAAATACATTTCTTTTTCATCAAATCCTTTTATACTTTTTAGAGCAAGGCCCCAGATACCTCACAACTTAGATGAGTTGCCGAAGTCTGTGAGTTTTTCTCTATTTCTGTTATCAAGAGTGAAGAAAGATAAACATTTCAAAATGCTGATTTTTGCCCACTAAGGATTTGAATTTTTCCCTGGAATAACTTCTCTTTATTGACTTGTGAGGGGGCTTAAGTAAGAGAAAAATCTATGTTCGTAGTGTAATGCTTTAAAGGATTTCTAGACTCCTGAACCTCCGATCCTAAACTGTTTCTTGTCAGGCATTCGGACAGCTCTTCCTAGGAGAGAGCCAACAGACAGTTTTAAAATATCCATTGTGATTCTTTACCCATTCAGACCTCTCCTGTGCTATGCTTTTTTAAAATTATTACATTTTTTTTTTAAACTTTTACTGGTTGTTTTACACTGATTTACTTCTTTTGTGCTTTCAGGAGTTGCACTTCCTGTGAAGAGGGGTATAAAAATAATGTTCCAAAAAAACGTTCCAAATTAAATAATTTTTTAGCTTAGACTATAATATGTCCTTACACAGTTCTGCCTGTAGCTTGCAAGAAAATTTATAGTATATAAAAGAGCCTTGATGTCAGTGCTATAATTAAGACTAGAAAAGTGACTTGTGCTGGAAACTTTTAGATCTCAGCTTTAAGTTTATCAGTCTGCTCCATGGGAAGAGAGACAAATTTACTAGTCTCTTTAGAGAAGCAGAAGATCAAAATGCTGCCAAAATAAAAACAGCATACTTTGAAGTCCTACGTATAGTCATACACTGAAATATTATTACTGCTCTTGTGCCATAGTTATTCTTAAATTTCCACGTGTGAATTTACATTTAAAATTTATTTTTGTTATGTACTGTCAGTACTTGCGGTTTAGTACTGCTACGAGGAAACTAGAATTGACAAAAGCATACGAAGGGAAGTTTACCACTAGAACAGCCTCCTCTCTGCTTCTCATTTATGTTAAGTTTTGCAGAAGGCTGGCTCTGAGCTGGATGTCTCGTCTCCTGGTGAATCTTGCTGTGGTTCTGATCTCAGGCAGAGCTGTTCTCTCCTGTACCTCGCTGCAGGCTGCCAGCGTGACCGCCAGTACTCGGGGCAGGCTGTATCAGCTGCGTCTCACGCTGACGCCGAGTCTCTGCTTCTGGCACTGTTGTGAAGAAACACAGGCTTGCTTTCTACCTCTCCTAAAAACTAACAAGCATCAGTTACTTCCACGTTATGCCTTGGAAGAAGTCTACATTTATTATGATTTAAAAGAAAAGTGAGTCAGCATTCACGGCAGTGTTAATACAGAGAGAGTTTTTTTCTTTCTCCACCTGTTGTCAGGTAGAAAGCGAGCTGATTGTTTCTAGTTATAGTCAATGCCCCCAGTGAGGGTCATTTCTTGTCAGGTAATTTTTTTTTTAACCATTGGATTGGATAGCATATTATTGGAGTTGTCAAACTGTAAACAGAGGGTTGTATATTTGTGTAGTACTTATAGGAGCACAGCAGGGTTTCAAATGCAAACGTTGCTACTAATATGTTGATGCTGAGAGCTGAGCAAGCCTTCGCTCTCCGGACCTGATGTGATTGGGGGAGTGGGGTCGTTGTGGGTTTTTTGTTTGTTTGTTTTATAAACAATAAAATTAGCTAATTTACAAAGGCTATGTACGTATGTGGTGTATTCCACACTGAAACTGCTCTTCCAGTGCATTTTTGAGGAAACTTACAGCTAAGAGTTGGCATTTATTAGTAAAAGTTGGATACTGTATAATTTCACTCCTAACAAGGCTTTAAAGTCACTGGATCCATTATTCTCATTTTCAGGTAAATTTGGGTCCGAGGTGTAAATGTAGGGGTAGCTTGGAAATAGTTTGAGTATTTGAATGTGCACTGCTGCTTTCATTGCTTGCATAAATCCTTCATAGTACCTTGGCAATATTTAATGACTTCATTGGGCTTTTAATGCAGGAATCAAAGGGTCTTTACAAACATGTAACAAACCCTCAAAGCTTTAGTTAATTTATTCACTCAAAGGACAGTGAATTATTTCTCCTCTGCATTATGTTTGCTGTTACAGGGAAGTTAATTTCCACTTTTTGAACATTTGATCAGTGAAGTGTGGACCAACTGCATTTAAGTTACTCAGAAAATCCAGCAGCTCTCAGAAGAGGGTTGGTTACAGTGTAGAAACTGCCGTGTTGGTTTTAAATTGGAATGTGTTGTGTCAAATCATACTTAACGATTCTCAATCACGGTTCTGTGATCCTTCCTGTGGGTAAAATAAGGAATTAAAGCCCTATCATATTGCTACAGCAGCAATTTCTATCAGTATTTTACCCACAGGAGAGAGTTTTACATTGTTAAAAGTGGTTGCAGGCTATTGTATGATTTGCACAATAAATTGCAGTTTATAACCCTGAGTACAGGTATATTAATGGCTTTTATAGTTATTGTGAGCAGATGTCTTGTGGTTGCATTGAGTGGGAACAAATCTGGCTCTGCTGTTTGAGTTGTGAAAATATCTAATTTTCCCCTGACTTTATCTTTTTTGTTTGGTTGGTTTTGTCTTAAATTCATGTCCAGCACATATAATGACTTATCTCATGGGTAAGAAAAAAGAACTATGATTATTTCTTCTATGCATTAGATTTTTAGACATATCTTAAGCAGTTTGTCGCTTTATGCCATACTTTGGTAACAGCATATTTCACTGGCATAAAAGAGGCTACTTTTAATTAGCTGTAAATCATTGAGCTATACTGATTGCTAGAGTTTGGTTTATGTTCTCATCATGTAAATCCCTTTGTGACACACTGGTAGATGGTGTGTTCTGCGCTCTAACCCTTTGTTCAATTGACTCTTTCAGCATATCTTACTGGTGTCTGCACCAGGTGGTCCATCAGCCATGACTTCAAATGGGAAAGATCATTTAGCAGTTTAAAAGGCAGTCCGTGCCAGTGGAGGGTTTTAAATATCAAAGGGACTTTTTAAAGAATACTTTGTCAAACGGATTTGTGCTATTTGTAAGGGATTAAAATCACTCACTGTTTCTTTATTGAAAATTTGTGTCCTAAATTAGTTATCATCTCAGTTTTACTAAGGCAGCAAAATAGGGAATTTTTGATGTTGAATATTTGTGCGGAAATACTTATTCTTACAGAAGTCAGAGAAACAATTACTGCTTGCTGACCCCATTTACTCACTTAGGGACCAGCCAGTGACTCAGTGCTAAATCTCGTGGCTCTATTTCATTGCTCCTTTCCTTGACTTTGTTCTGAGGTGACTCCACTAGAACCAGAGACATACAGTGGTGTCAACGTAAAGGAGTGCAGTGATGAAACACCTTTACCCATCGGCTGCTGTGAAGTAAATATCACTGTATTAGTAAATTACATTTTAACAAATGCTCTGCTCTGTAGGAGACACTACAGACAGCAGTGACAATGACATTTGAATGTGTTGCAACACTGACATGTTTTTATTTAACAAAACTATTGGATCTTCAGGGTTGAAATCAGTGGGACTTCAGGGAGCTGTGCAGTATGTTCCTCTCCATTCCCCCTCAACCCATGGGGCTGGGCTCCTTCCCCATGGTGAAGGTGACAGTGCCCGACAGCCCTCCTCCTTGTCTGTGATCTTGGACTCTCTGGAGTCCTTTAATCAAGGAGAGAAAGCTGTTCTTGCCAATCAGGTAGCTAGTGAACCTCTAGTACAAAAATAAATCTGTATTTCAAAAGAAATAATAATTTTTCATTATTCTTCATGACATAAACTGCTTATGTCAGAAGACTAAACCTTTTTCTGAGATTCACTGTTATCCTTCTTTAACCATACCTGTCACTTCACACTCACTTCTGCCAAATTAAACCTACAAATTTCTGATTGTTAACACAGTAACCATTTCCCCGTAAGTCATGCAGATTGACATTTAATTTGCTGTTAGCAGAGAGTCGGGTAATGTTTTGCTGAGGTCCTGACGGGCCTTAAGCAAGATGAAAGCTGTTACAGCACAAAGCATGGCGGACAGTTAGCAATGGTGTGGGGTGTGAGAAGGAGGGAATGAAGGTGAAGGGTGTGAAAGGTGGCTTCTCTCTTCTTGTTTTCTTGCTTCTCTGTGTTGGTCTGTGGCAGTGCGGAAGTCTCGCTTAGCTCCTGCTATCCACTCTCCCTTAAGCCAGCGCTATCATCTCATCCTGTGGTGGGATTCAGTTTACTTATCTACCAGAAAACTCAGGAGGAAGAAGTGGTTAGTGAGCTATAATGTCAGATGAGCAGCAGCGCTTGCTTAGGACTGTGTATGTGGGGAGAGAGAGGAGCAGGACAAATTCCTCAGTGGTGCGCTAGATGTTCTTCGCTTCACCCTGCATAGTATACACACTTTTTCTCCTCTGTGTTATTATTATGAAAGTACTTGATATGGCAGAAGTTTCAGCTGGAACGAGGAGTTGCACAAGCTGTATATGGAAGATCTTAAAAGACCTGGGATAGAGACGCTGGTGGCATGACTGGGGCAGGGTGGGGGTCACAGTGGTGAGCTAAAGATTGTCACGACACGTAGCAGTATAATAATGTTACTTTTACGTACTCCTACATACCGGCTCTGTGAAAGAACCTATGGGTCAGGTGAACTCTATGTCATATTATAGCCACTGATTTTCATGTTGCATCTTAGTGACTAACTGCGGTGGTGTTTAAAGTACATTGAAATACCAAGTGCTTCATTTTCAGCTATTTAAGTAGCACTGCTTTAAAAGCAAAACTCCCATTTGCCTTTCGCTGATGTAACACGACCCCCGCTGTTACCGTAATTCTCTGTGCTTCAGACTTTCTTCCCCCCCCTTCTTTCCCCCTCCCTTCCTTCCTTTTGATTTTTGCACAAGATGATAGTTGTTTTCAAATTCTTACTATCTTCTCTGGGCATATGTTGAGATCGCGAGCAATTCCTGTTGCACTGACTGACAACCAAGTCTGACCTGTAAGCAGTGCGGCTCTGTTGGCGTTTTCATCTTTGACAACAAACTGCACTGCCTTAAAAAGGATAACAAGACCTTGCAAGGTGGCTGAGAGGACTGCTGCGCTTTTACTGCTAATGAAATTGTAACGTGATTGAATTATGCCAAAATCCCAGTGTGTTATGTAGGCTAGCTCAAAATGAGGAGATTAACTGAACTAGAACAGGCTTTGCTGTCTTGCACAGCTCCTGTGTCAAATTCTTTGCATTCTGAATCCTGTTTTCTGGTATTCACACTGCCACATGCATCACTCAGGTTTCTCGGAGGCGTGTAGCAGGTAGTGTTTTCAGTAGAAACGTACATCCCGTGTGCTATTTCTGTCTTACCGCCTAGACCAGTTCTTTTCCAGCTTTGTGAGAAAAGTGCAAAGATGCTGTCAGTTGTGTCCATACCAAAAAAGTCCAGCTGTTACCGAGGCCTTGGCCATGTAGCATTAATTGGCAGAGACACCTTGAATACACTTCCCCTTCTTCCCCCGACATGGGACTTGTCACCCTTCCGATCAGAGGGGCTGTGCTGTCCCCGATGGCAGAAGCCTTTGCTCCGGGGCAGGCTCAGGGCTCCCCGAGGGCACGGGGCTCTGGGGCAGGGAGCGGCGTGCTGCAGGCCACCCTCCGGCTTTTATCCAGCTGTAGCTGGCTGCCAGCCTGCAGGACCGACCTGAACTCGTTCCAGCACCTTGAAATTCCCGGCTCAGTATGTCCTAAGGGCTCTTTCTAAAACACAGTCCTAACGATGCAGTTTCCAACAAACTCCACTACAACATGGGATGCCTTTCGCAGCTGTATTGTGGCTGTGTGGGTTTTGTTTCCGCAAAGCGTGTCACCATACTTGCTGCTTGATCACTTGTTCTGTAACGAATCCCAAATGATCTGACAGTAAAGTACATCTAAAAAGTCAAAAGCTTATTTTCTGGTATAAAGTCCTCTATTTATGCTTGTATTTTGAAAAATGTAGGGCTAAAAGTATATCTAAATGTTTCATTGATTACTCATGAGTTTCAAATGGAAGAGGTCTGCTGGAATAATTAAAGCAAATGCATTTGTAAAGTGTGAAGTACTAGATGTCAAAATATTTCATATTGTAGCAAAATCTAAAAGCTCTTACCTTCATGCCACAGGCAGTACATGAATAATGTGAATGACAATGCAAAGATGGCATGAAGAGCATCACACACTTTCACAAGCATGAAAGCTTTCCCCACTCAAATTTCTAAAATAGGACAGATTTTGTTCACTGTATTTTTCCTTACTGCAAAGTAACTTGAGCAAAATCTTCACATTATTTTCGGGTTTGTTTCATTAATGGGAAGAGAATGAGTGTTGCAGTGACTTGTTACAAATAAGCAGATTCGTATTCTTCATTTAGGCCAGTATTAGTAATTTTTGAAGATCTTTTTAGTTGAGACATGTTGTAAATAGATTGCAAGGAAGGGTGGAAGTTGGTTGGTGGGGGTGGGGGTTGAAGAAAGCTCCCTGAGTCCAAGCATGTGAACTCACGTGTGATTTCCTTCTTCCCTTCTTCCAGTTTGAACAGGAGAACCAGAGACTTGTTGGTGAAATGAATAATCTCTTTGATGAAGTCAGGTACAGTTTTCTCTTACTTGCGGGATTGCTGTGCGTGCTGGTCCCAGAACCCGGACAACACCCACAGACACTGAATCAGCTGTGTGAATTGTAGTGCTGTGGTGGGAGGGATGAAATAGGAGCACCCAGAAATAAACTGTACGAGTTTACACATTGTGCTGTCCCACAGTGTGTAAAGGGTTCTGAGTGACACACAAACTGTGCAAAATAGTATTGGTTAGATTTGGAAGGCTGACGGTCTGTCTCACTTATTCAAGTTTTAAACGATTAAGTTTTCCACTCGCAGCACGTTGTCGGCTGCATATACGGAGAGCGGGAGGGGATGTGCAATCCCTGACCCCTGCCCGGAGACCTGTCTTCTTGGCAGAGCAGCAGTGCCGCTTGCTCTCCGCTTGCAGTGCGGAGAACCTGTATGGCTAACTCGAGCTACAGCTTTACTTTTGGATTATTAGTACTAGGCAAGGTGAATTCCACACTATGTAGTAGCACATAAAAAGGATATGTCAAAATTGACTACCTGGGGTCCACCATGGCTTTTGTTATGTTGGATGGAAGAAGGAGGAGAGGTGAAGCTCTGGCAGCAAAGTCTGCCATCTGCGAATTCCCAAGTGGGCCTCTTCCAGAGCTTCACTGTGGGCCGGTGGACTTCCAACCATGAATTGTCAGAGCGCTAGTCACAGGCTACTGCTGCAGAACAGATGGCTAACAAACCAGCCATGCCTTTTGAACAGCACGCCTACCGGCTTGGGCAGGCTGAATGTGCAGGAGCAGGAAATGTTTGCATGAGTTTCTAATGGAGTATTTCTGTTCTTCCCCAAGACAAATTGAAGGAAAAGTGGTGGAAATCTCCAGATTACAAGAGATCTTCACTGAAAAAGTCTTGCAACAGGTTGGTATAATTTAATACTACAGCAGCAAGTACAGCTTGAGGATTTTCTTGGGGGTATTTTGGTCTTGGTTGCATGCAAGATGGAAACATAAGATTAATGAGTCTGATGCAAATGTGAAGGAAACTATTTTTGGTTTGCAAAATCAAGATATTTACTGTTACTTATCAGTATGTACTGGGAATGGAAAATGCAACATATGTGTTTGTTAGAATATGCCTCAGAATTAGTGTCCTGTTGAATGTGTTACTCAATAACACCTTTTCTGTACATGGTGGCACTTCTTCCAAAAGAGCTGGCAAAAATTAGACAGGTTAAATTTGGTCCTAGATAAATGGGAGACTTCCTGGTCATTTTGGTGGTCTCCATTCAGACTCATAAAAACAGGTAAAGAAATTACAACTCGATCGCCTCTATATCTTTGCATCATTGAAACTAAGCTGTTAATAATACCAGATTTCATTTTTGAGTTCTGCTTGTTTTCCAAGTCCTTAGTAGTGTGGTTTTCCGTAAAACGCATCACCATTTCTCAATTTTATTTTTTTTAACAGGAAACTGATATTGACAATATCCATCAATTAGTTGTGGGCGCAACAGAGAATATCAAAGAAGGGAACGAAGACATAAGAGAGGTAATGCCTCTCAGTCGTGTTTTAAACTCACTTGTTTCTCTTAACTTCCAGTTTTGCCCAAGTGTTGTTTTGAACAGCATGTACGAGCTCACCCGCAGTACAGGCGCAGTGTGTGCGGGGGTGCGGGACAGGACTTTGGGAAAACTGTACAAGTTAGCTGAGCTGCTTAGTAGTTTGCATTGCTTGTCTCCCTAACCATGATGTGAATAGCTGTACAAGCCTGCAGAAACCTACTTGGCCTCGTTTATTTTTTTAAACCTGAAGGTCACCCAGCATGTATTTAAGCACCTGTGATGTGTTTAAAAAAAAATATAGAGAGAGAAATTGCAGACTAAGAATAAAAGACAGTGCTGAAATTGCTGAAACCGGAGTTAAAATGCTGAGCATTAGCGGCAGAGTCTCTTTACCATAGTGAATGCGTCTCACATGCTCCTAGTAAACAAATCTATGCCATTGTCTTACTAATTAGAATGAGATGATGTTTTCTTTCAGGAACTGAGATTTCAGTAAAAACTAGAGTTCCTAAATTAGGCTACTGAGTAAGTGGCTCAGTTCCTTTTTTTTTCTCCCTCCTGAAAGCACACAGAACACGTAACTCAAGGATGAGTTACCTACTGCTCAGCCCTCCTGAAAAGTGCATCGAACAAGTGTAACAAAGGGACTTATTTCTGCTTTGGAACTTTCTTCCACATTTCTTCAAGCAGAGTAAAATATGTGGAGTATTCTTTTCTGTAGCGGGCCAACAGGCATGATGAGATGGCACGTGGTAGGGAAGATGTTTGGCTTTTTAAAGACTTAACTCTAGCATACAGTTCCTCTGCCTTTAAATCACAATCCTTAAGTGCTTTCAATGGGATGCCTGGCGGGTCCATCAATGTCAGCTGATCGCCCCTGTGTTCATAGTTAGAGATCAGTTTTCAACAACATGGCATGAACTGAAGTTACTTTTGCTTCATTTTTTATATTTGTAGGTAGAACTGTTCCCTAAACCACACTGAGAAACAGTAGAGAAAGGCGATAAATAGAAAACTTGATCACTCATGTTAATGTTGGAACCATATAAAAACAAAAATCTATTCCATGTGTAAATCTGAAAAATTAGAAAGAAAAACAGGTCCCCTGCTGTATGCCAGTCTCAATTTTGTGAAGGAGAATCCAAGAAAAATAGTTGCCATACTGGCTCCTTGCTCTACTTGCTCCGAGACTGAAATAAGTGATTGACAGTGCTAGATCAGCCTCCAGAAATAGTTGTTGTCAGGCTTTGGTTGTTTTTTTAGTCAGAAGAATTTCATTAGAATGCAGAAGACCTGATTATTTTTAATCACAGAATTTCACTTTCGGAACTTAAAACTAGCCTTTAAGCATGTATGTTTTGGTGGAGCTTTTAATGTTTTGAGTATATTTCCATTGTGTGGGATCTTGGGATTTTTATTTTTTAAATGACAGATTTTAAGATTTTGAGAGAAACTTTAATGTTATCAACCTAAAGAGGCACAGCCAACCTGACTTTTATTCACCTGCAATTAATGGCAAGTTTAGTTCTTTCTCCTGTGGGAGGGAAGAGTGAAGCCGCTAACCATCATCCTGGGGTGCCACTGCTGGAATTCTACTGTATGTTTACTGGTGATGGTAATGGAAATAACCTTTTCCTCACAGGCCATCAAAAACAATGCTGGATTTCGAGTATGGATCCTGTTCTTCCTTGTGATGTGTTCCTTTTCCTTGCTTTTCCTGGACTGGTATGATAATTAATTAAAAGTGTAATATTATCTACATGCTTTGTTTGTAGAACTTCTGACATTTTTTCTAAGGAGCAGGGTATATGGCATACCTGTATATTTTATGCATTTTTTCCTACTGCTGCGATGGAAATATTTTCCAATAAATAAGCATGTGTATGTATATCCACTAGTGCAGAGAGGACCAATAGTGTTCATTTAAAGTCCCTTTATCAAACATAAAACCCCACTTAATCCTGTAAAGAACACAGAAACCTTTGAAAGAGCTGGTAAGAAAGCCACAAGCTGGAGCATAGCTAACAGAAGGGGGGGGGGAACAAACCAAGGATAACAGTTTTATTGTAGTCACCCCCACATCTGTGATGTTTAAAGCCCAGCTCCCAGCGTGCACACCAGATCAAGAGGAAACTGTTACCGTGCGACAGCATCGGCGCTGTCTCAGGCTTTTATGTCCTCATACCGCTGCAGTACACAGTGATCGCTTTGCACATCCATGACCTCTGCTTCTCATCCTTTGAAACTACTCGAGTCAGAGATCACGCTGATTTAATAGTAACAACAACAAGTGAACTAAAAAGCTTTACTTCTAGGTGAAAAGAGAGAATACAACACAAACAGATTGTGCAATGAAACACATGTTCTGAGATGTCAGAACAAAGCTGAAGGATAGACAATATCAAAGCCAAAATATTCAAAGTACTACAATTGGGAGGGAAAAAAAAAAAGGTAGATAAGAATCAATGAACTCCCTCCTGTTACCTCAGAGGAAAAAATGGTTTTGACTTCAAGAAGCATAAATCAATCTGTTTCTCCTAGATCATAAAGCTTAGTGTTTTTTAATGTTTATTGGCAAGAGAGAGAGAAAAAATTGTTTCTCATCAGTATTTACTTGTGCATTAGAGTTTTTATTGTCCTAAATTTAAGGGGAGATGTATCATGAATCACTTTATGTAGGACAGTCTTCGGGAACAGATCTTTCCAACAAGTAAAATCTGAATGTCCTTTGTAAATATGTTGATATGAAAATGTGTGGTTTGCTATCTCTTTTCTGAAATGTGTATTTCTATACATTACAAGCAACAAGCAGCAGCGTCCTTATTCTTTACTCTGCACAGAGTGAAAATGTCAAAAGTTACCTGTGAATTAATTACATTCAATAAAGCATACACCTATTGGAAAACACAAACATGGTGTGTTTTGAATATCTTAACATAAGGTTGAAATTTTTCAATACAAAGAAAAATTTGGCACACAATTTATTGCTTTTTATGCATTCCACATACCTTAATGACTTACTAAAAAGCCTTTTACAGTATTACTGTGCATTGCACATCTTGGATCAAATCTAGAGAATTAAGTAATAATGGTTGTTTTTACTGTATTATTGATAAAGCAATTCTACTGGAGAAGAAAATAAAGGTAGGGCTGACCATGTTTGTTCTACTGTAGATCTTCATGTTTTCCTTTCATTTTTGTATAATTTTTACTAAAAAAAAAAAAAAAGAAACTTTTGACATATCCACTATACCTTGTCCCCTTCAAGTGATGTGAAGAAAAAAGGTGACTTGCTTGCCCAGATGCTTCACACACTTTGTCTAACTGTTAAATTAATAAGATGTCTTTTTTGTAATATATATTTAAGATTTATAATAAAAATGAAAACATGGTTTCACACAAAGAATAAATATGTTTGTAATTACAATGGAACTTTAACGTGCATCCACAATACTATGTTCTTCTACATCTTTTCCCCTCCCAAGCCATACATAAGCAGTTCTACTCTTCACTCAGTTGCACATGTAGCTTTAAAACAGCCAGCCGTGTTACCTAATGTGCTATTGTTTCACTTGTGATGCTCTGTGTTTTAAAAAGTATCAAACTGCAAACCATACATAAACCAAAAGCTCTAATTAATGACAAGGGAAAATGTTAATGTAATAAAAGAGAAAATTTAGACATGTTACTCCCTCGGTTGTATCCAACAAATTACATAGTGGACTACATCTACTGTGAACAGGCTTTCTGCCTCTTAAGTATGACCAAAAGATGTCATTTCTCATTAGAACATCCTGAACTGTATATTTTTTACACTATCCTCAACATCCATCACTAAAACCAGTGTTTTTTCCATAATGTCTAGCTAGTTTGTGTTTCAGTGCACATCCTTACCCAGATGCTAAAGCCACAGTGGAAATGCAGTTAAATCCTGTTGACAGCAATAATAAAACATTGAGCATGCCCTGTTGCAGAGAACTTCATTATCACTTACAAATAAACAACAGTAAAGAAAATATAAGAAAAATGCTACTCGACAAGTTTCTTTCTCCATACAAGTCATTACGTTATACCCTTGACATCAATGCTGACTATCGTTCTTGCTTGAGCCAAAACTAAATATTAAATACAGCTTTCAGCTGAACAAGAGATCACTCTAGTTATGGCTGGGGTGTTTCAGTTTGCAAAATGACAAAGAATAAAAAAAATTAATAAATAAAATATCATTTCAGATAACAGAACACATGATGTATCTAAGGTCCAAGCCCTGAAAAGCCAGTGAAGAAATCTGTCAGTATCCAATAAACTGCAAGAACATATCTAATATTGGATTTTTTTTTAACATTGAAAATGGTGTCAGAGCTCTAAAGCAATGCTGATATGCACCTTGTTTTATGCCCATGAATGTTCTGCAGCAAGTTTTTGTTTTCTTTTTGCAAAGCAGTATCAGCAAACAGAAGCAATTGCACCATAAACATGAGTAACCTCTAAATTATCCATAATTATATTTAATGAAAAGTTCCTTAAAGTCCCTTAGTTACCTTCAAATGACATAGTGTTAATAATTAGCTTATCATACTAAGCTGATTTCTCAGCAGCTTCAGTCTCCTGTTCAGATAGCTTCTCTTCTGACAGTACTGTCATCCACGGGGACACTGAGCGCGTGATGGTTTGTTTGGCCAGATTGTAGTGGTTTATGACTGTGTAAAATTTCCCTCGAGCACTGGAGTCTTGTTCAGAGTAGTAGTTTTCCAAGCCAGCTGGAATGCACTGATTATTCTGAAAAGAAAATCCATCACTTAGATTACAGATACACACCAGAAGTAGGTTAGGTTTGGGGTTTTTTTCTTTTCCTTTTAGTCAGAGCCAACATTCACTTTCTGTGAGTCAAGATGCAACATACAGCAATTAACTACAGCGTTGTCCTACTGTGTTCAAAATGTTCTTCCCTGCAATCTTTAAACTACTGCTGCATTTGCCAGGAAAATCTATCTGCGTTTCTATGCCAGAATAATTAACATACGAGAAACATGCTTGCCTAAAATTATTTTTTGAGAAGTACTCAATCTCTAGTTCCAGCCATGTTTTGCTGTTTCTTTTCCTCCCTACCTAGTTCCAGCTGTTTGGGCTACAATTACAGATGTCCACATCCTACCCTTAGATTAGCTCCAGGCACTTTAATATGGTGGTTTCACTCTAAGGGACAGAAATCAATGCAGATATACTGGTGCCAAGGTACGAACAGTTTTATAGCCCAGTAAATAAGACACAGAGGGAAAACAGTGTGGGTGGCCAAGCTTATGTGCAAGTGTGTACACACACACAAAATGCTTCACTCTCGATTGTCAGAAAGATGTAGCCAACAGCAGGCTTTTAAAAAGCCATCTTTAGCTGTGGGACTACATTATTTAATTTCCCAGAAGCGTAAAGGCACTACACAGAAACTGCTGGATGCCCAGAGCTTTTGAAAGTGAAATACCCGATTCAGGGATTTAAACACTAAGTAGGATCCAAACTTTGCTGTCATCTGAAAAAACAAAGTGAACGTGCACGTGCAATGCATTAGCCAGCAGGTATCATGTAGCAACGGTTCCAGTGATGATGCAGTAAAAGCTTACAAAGGACCTAGTTGTGCTGAAAGAAAAAATGACTTAGAACTATCCTGTGACCCCCTCAGGTTTTGCTCCACAACGTCACAGGTCTCCCCGCAGGTCCTCTGCCCTATCTGCCGCCAGTCTTGCCTGGTACCTCAGAGTGTTGGGGCACTCATCTGGGCAACTGAATTGACCCTCTAAAATACAAGCTACAAGTAGCTGCAGCCTGAGAAAAAGTAAGTTTAATCATTTCTACTCTGACTGTTTCAAAAATAAATAGGCTGTTCAGTCTTCCTGCTTCCAGCACCCGAAGACTAAAGTTTGTAACACTGTAGCACAGCAACTTTGACCTGCCACTGTTCTCATAGAACTTAGCAAACAAAACTTAACACTGGAAATTTCTGAGCACAAAAAACACATGCAAAGGTGTCATGGATTTTAGGACCAGATGCTATCTCAAATGTGTCCACATTTACCTGTGGGTTGACTCTTCTCAGGGGGAAAAAAAAAAAAAAAAAAAAAAAGAAGAGAGAGAAGTGGCATAAATAAGCACCAGTAGTAACAGTTTCAAATGGTCTAAATCGCTAAGCACTAAATGACTGGGGGGGAAATCCAGCAGACAATCCTGGCTTAATATAATTTTGCATCCTAGAAATGCTAAGAGTGGAAAAAAAGCATTGAAAGGTACACAAGAAAAAAGGCAAGACAACAGGCCTACAGGTAGTCTTATGAACCTGCCTGCTGCCCATGAATACAATCTCCTGGCAAATTTGCTGAAAGAAGCCTCGCTGGTCAAAAGACTAACAGCCCTCCCACAGAGTTCACACCTCATCGGTTCTAACCTGCTCGTGCGGCAGAAGCCTGGATGTGTGTCAGACTCGCAATAGTGCTCAAAGTTACCCTTTATTTGTTATCTTTTGTCAACTTGGCAGCCAGGGCAAATCTGCCCTCACAGCTCTGTTTGAAGTAGCACTATAAAGCAAGACAGGATTTCACCCCGGCTAAGCAGACGCTTGTGCCTTTTCAGCACTGTTTAAGTCAATGGAGGTTTCCCCATGGTCGTAATCATCATACGCACCAGCTGCAAGAGCAAGACCTGGATTTAAAAAAAATAATCCAGGACAACTCTGGAATAGAGCTATTTGATATGTGTGTTCACCTACATCAACCATGCC